CCTGACCCTAGCTACTATGAAACTATGAATTCCGATGTAAAATCTCATATTTCAAAGACTTCAAGGAACCCTGGCTGAGAATCACTGCTCCACACAGCTTCTACCATCGCTTCACCCTCTGTCAGTCCTCTTACCTCATTTAAAAATATTCTAATCAGATAACATTATAGCTCCATTTATCAAAGAATTTTTTACTACACTGTTAGTTTGCAATTTTCCATTTGCAACCATAGCTAGACAGTAGTGCTAGCCATTTTTCCCCTCTGAAGAAGTGCAAGTAGTTGCTATAGTACCATTTCCACAGTGTTAAAGGCTCTACTCTCGAAACTCCCACACTTTAGTTTCTTATTTTTCAGGCAACTGACTTATAAAGTCTCAATCCACAAAGTAAATATTTTTCTATGAAATATAATTTAAAAAAACAAGTTACTTGCTTGTTTCAAACAAACTAAATGGATTTTTTTCTTTTTTTTGCTCTACTCAGGAAAAAAAATGCATATCTAAAAAGATTTGATTTTGCTTCTTTAAATGAGCTTTGCAACTGGGATCACAATATTTTCTATTTTTTGTCACAATACACTTAAATCCAAGGACACCAAAAAAAACCATTCACACCCACAAATGCAAAAGCTAACTGATACAAAGTAGCATTCCTATAAGAAACAGAAGTAAGCTCTCACTACCATTATTTGTAATGCAGTAATGCATGTGTCCTAAACCATTGTCCACAGGACCTTACTGTTCTTGACAACATAAAAATGGTCCTCTTCCCCTATAGCATATATAAAAAAAAATTTTAACTTCATTCTTATAGTGTTCAGAGGTCTCTTTCATTATTTGACTGTTTTCTGACAAGGTTACATATGACATTGAAGACACTTGACTAGATAAAAAATAGCTAGACTTAACAGAAATTTAAAATTTATGAAACTATTGTGAGATATGTTGCGAGACACATTAATAAACCCACCACTTTTTTTATATACTCAACATGTGTTAAGTTTTGTAAATACAAGATGTAGCTGCTTACAACCTTCCTTTAAAAAGCCTCTAATCTCCCTGGTTCATCTATACTGGCAGAACTGAATTACAAAAGAAATTAGCATTTATAGATGCACACAAACTTCTCAGACTTATGGGGCAGCAAAATCAATGCGTCTCTTTCAATAACTTCTTACTTGCAAAGATATTCATACTGGACCATCATCATGATAGCCAACTGCCCATACTCAAGGTATTAACACAGACTAAAACAGTACAAGGGATCTACACGCACACCAGCAGCTGTACAGTACCTTCCTGCATGCACATTCTTACTTCACAGTATGTAAATATTAATAGGTGGCAGGTTACTTCTGGCGGAAGTGGGAGCACTCTACACAGGTAAACAGACCTAAAGATACTGAAGAATAAATTTCTCCCAAGTTAGAAGAGTTACCCAGCCAATACTAAATTACTTTTGAAAGAATTTTAGCGCTCTAAGATGCTCGCTCCTACCCTGGGGGTCTTCAAAAGGAGGCTAGACTAACACCTTGCCAGGGTCGTTTGACCCCAACATCCTTTCCTGCCCTTGGCAGGGGGTCAGACTTGATGATCTGCTCAGGTCCCTTCCGACCCTACCAACTATGAAACTATGGAAGAACATAACAAAATGTGAAGTAAAAGCATATACCTTTAATACAAGTTGTGTGATCAAGTTCTGCTATGGAGAAACAAACAAAAAAAAAAGCATGTGTTCTGTCAATAAAACACAGGAAAAAGTACTTAACAGACAGAGTGCTTTGCGAAGTGTGGTGCACAGACATACATTTTCATTGTGAGAACATGCAATCTCAAGAATTCAAGCTTAGAGACTTTCCTTAGCAGTGCCCATACAACATGCCATCACTCCTGCACTCCTTGTGTTCCATGCAGAAAGCCTAGAACTGTAATCTCTTCCTCCACCTCTCAATTACAGCATCTCAGATTATAAGAGGCTCTAAGGAAGAGAGGGAAGAATATGCCACGTGGAATGGGCATGCAGATAAACATCTCAGAACCTCTGTTACTGTTAAGGACAAAGAACATGCTAAAAACAGATTCTTAGGGAAAGTGAGAGGGGAAATAGGGTAGGAGATGAAAAATCTTTGCAGTAGTTGAGAAACAGATTAGACAAGCATGTATTGTAAGGCACTCTGAGCCTTTCTGGATAGAGCAGGACATAAATCTAAATAATCGTTGTCAGCAGCAGTAGCATCTGTGAGAGCCACAAAAAAAACAAACCTCCTTTGTAGTAGCCAGAGGACACTGGGCTCTTTAACTCTATTAGAGTACAATGTCAACAGCAGTCCAGATAGCACCAAAATCTTTCCTCGTCCTGAAAACTGTAATCACTACAACATTGCCTACACAGCTCCAGATTGTGACCACCCCTGGTTTGTAGGTAAAAGTAGGTGAGTATCTTCAGAGCTGTACTGAATACTAAATTATGCTTGCTGGATTAAAAAGTTACTTTCATGTATAACTATAACTGACACTGAAGAAGAGATCATCATGGACATACTCAAAACGTTTAATCTGGATTGTGGGAAGTCAGCCCCAAGGAGCCAAGAAAACCCCTATGGCTTTCATTCTAAATTCTAGTGCACACAAATTAAAATATAAACAGAAGAGGATGACAGACAGAAAATGGATGAACAGATTAAAAACAACAGTGCCCTTTTCTATAGTTATTTGCACCCGTATGCCAAAAGATGCTGCTGCAAAGAAATGACTGTAATGAAGACCATAGCCCTTCTTTTTATAACAGAGCTGAGGAACGTAGCAGTTAACATTTTCACATATTACTTGGGTGCTAACTGATACCCTCTTTAGTTGCATGTCCACTGGGAAGAGAAGCGTTTAGAACCAAGTTAGTTAATCGAAAGCAACAGACCAGCAGACAAAGCCATCTGAATTTTTTCCACAAGTTAACTGGTCATTTTTAGGAAAATAATGTTTGCAAAGCCTTCCAGGAAGGTAAACAGTTGTGTGAGATCTATAAGCCGTCTTGTCTTTTCAGTGCCCAGGACAAGAGCTCTCTTTTGTCTTTTCTTTCCCAAACAATTTACTCTGCAGAATGCAACAAGTAGGTGTCAATCACTTCCAGATCTGGCTGAGTTACAGCAAAAGAAACACAGTATTTGATTTAGATATTTTTCAAGACATCTAAAATAGCACACCTCTTCTACAACCAATCAGTTCCGAAGAAAATCTTAAAACCACTTCTCATATTTAGTTTGTATTATGCCTTTCAGAAGCTAGAGGCTTAAGTATAAAAGTTTGTTTTATCACTTACTGTGAATACATGAAATAATTTAATCTTAATAACATAAAAGCCTGGAGAACAACCTACCATATCCTTGGGGGATTACAGAGCGAGATTTGTATGTTTTAAGGCGCCAAAGATTTCAGAAACCATGATGGCATGAACTCAAAAGGAGAAAATGGTTTCATTTCCAGACCTGTATTTACCCCACAGGTAATCTAGATGCACAGCAGAAAGAGAAGGGAAGCCACTTTCATCATGTTTTGGGGTATGAACAGAGCTTGAACAGTTTCTGAAGGGGAGGGACAGCTTCTGCTTCGGACCATGTTGCTGCTGTTATGCTCCAATACAGTGGCTCTCAACCTTTTAAGACTAGAGGCAGCCCTCAAAAAAATCCAGCTCTTATGTTTTTACTCATTTTTGGACTACAGAAAAATAACAGAACATATTTTTCATTACAAAGAACTCAGCCCACAATACAGCAGAATGTTTCTGATGCTATGCATGTCTGTTTGAAATCTCTGGGTTTATCTTGTATATCATCCCTTGGTTCTGGTGGGGCAACCTTCTGCCCTTACAGGTTGTTCTACTATCATTAGTACTGCAGTACATCCAAGGATCAAAGAACAAGATCCATGACTACATACAATAGACAGCCCTCCAAAAAGACCTTTCATGCTCCAAAGAGCTTACAATCCAAGTATAAAAGGAGAATATGGTGTGAAATGCAATGAGGCACATTGTGGTCACATTAAAACCATCTGTGCAAGGTTTATTAGCAGAGGGAGATAAAACCGTATGTCAGTGTCAGTCACCCTAGAAAAAGGTCTCCTATACCACAATTTACCAAAAAATGGCAAGGTACAAAGATTTGTTGTGAACAATTAATCACCATCTAGGGATCTATTTTTCAGGAAAGCAAGTACTAGAGATAAATTTATTCAGTATGGCTTGAATTTGTCACAACTGCGAGACCAGATTTTTTGGGTCATCACTGGTTACGCATTGACTACAGGTAAGATTGTAAGGGTGCAAATGATGGACTATATCTTACTCTGTGAGAAAGAGATGGTTGTGGCTAACGTGACCTTTAACTTTTGAAACTGGCCTCTTTCAGCACGGGGGATTTTTGGACTTGCTCTTAAAAGTTTTATCAAGTCAAGGGGAAGAAGATGTGGGGGAGGGCAAGGGGGCCACCTGACCCACTTAGATTTATTTTCCCTGCTGTAGCAGCGGGAGAGGGACAAATTCAAGGCAAACCTCCAATTAGATTCTATACCTGGAAAATTATAATAATTTTATATAAAATTTCCATATGTATAATCTAATTATACTCACAGTTGACCAAATTATACTCACGGTTGACCAAATACTTTATTTAGCATTTGTTAAAATGAGTAAAATTTTCTTATTTAGATAAAAATTGATCAGAAGCCACTCACCACCACCCACTCCTAACCACTCACCACGACCCCCACGGTAAGATTTGCATGACCAAAAATCAATTAAAACAAATACAAATTGCCTACAAAAATATTTGGTTACATGCTTTTTAAAAAATAATTTTGAATTATCAGTCAAATTTAATCATCTTCACTTCTCTGATCCTTGCACATAAAAAGCATATATATTAAGGTATCGGACAACAGAAATAGCTAGATTTTCTCATCTATATTTAAATAAAATTGTATAAAAATAAGGAATTCACACTTACGGTAAATATCCGTCTGCCAGTCCGATCAAAAGTTACACAGTATACGGAAGATAAATGTCCTAAGATTCGTTTGTGCATTTTCATATGTTGATACACTGCAGTTGGAACAAGGCGTTCAAGTCTATATCTTCCATTTAGTTTTCTTGAAAAGAGGGTATCCACTACCAAAGGGAAAAAAAAAATGTTTATATACTGCTAGGTTTCAGTAGAATTTATATTTTGTGGTAATTATATATTTACCCCAGCTGCCTATCCATAAAAGGAAAACCATTTTCAATGTTTGACCATTTAATGCGCACACAAGTTTTTATAACAGACTCTCATTTTAAACATAACACAGTCTAATCAACTGTCCCCAGTAAACTAAGGGAAAAACATCAGGGCAAAAAGTAGCTCACACACCTCAGATTACTACTAGTAGAGGTGTGCAAAACGGGCTGTATTCAATTCGGATTCGGCCCAAATTGGGGACAATGATTCGATTCGTTGCTTCGGATCACTGTCCCGATTCCATTCAGCCAAATTCGAATCTGAAGATTCGATGCAGATTCCGAGAATCAACAATTCGGACATAGACACAGCTTTAAAAGTTTTTTCTATATACCTCGAGGTACCACGTGTGGCTTGTGAATGCTGCAATGGTGGGGCAGATGGAGCATCCCACAGGAGCGCGGGGGGGTGCTTGGTGGCGAACCCAGAAGTGGACCGGAAGTGCTTCTGGTCCACTTCCGGATCCGCTGCCAAGCACGATGGGGGGCTCCCCCGTGCTCCTGTAGGACGCTCCCTCCACCCCAGCATCTTAGCATTCAAGAGCCGCCTGGTACCTTGAGGAATGTAGAAAAAACATTTAAAGCTATATCTGAATCATTAAATCTTTCAGAATCTCTCCAAACAGATTTGGAGGGTTCCGATTCGATTCAGAGAAATTAAAGGGTCTCCTGATTTGATTTGGAGAATCAGCCGCTGAATCGAATCAGCGACTGAAGCTTTGCACAGCCCTAATTGTGAGCTCCTTTCGCAAAAGTAAAATAACAAGTCAATGCAATTAGATACCTCCACGTCTCTACTGCTTAAGTCAAATTCTGAGCATTAGAACTTTTTCTTTTTAAGATAAGAAGGCTTGTAAGGAAGAAGTTGCTTCTTATATGGGAGTCTTCTTACAAGCCTCAGCAAGGAGATAAAGGATCTCCAAGAAAAAAAACCCCAACACTGCAGATAAAGCTCAGCACAATAGTTAGGCCTGACACTTACAGCATGACAGACTCAGTTTTAGCACCAACAATAAAACAACACACATGCACACTCTTCCCTATAGTTTTATGTACTGATTTGGAAGAATAAGAACAAATATATTCTAAACACCATAAGACTGTTATAAAAGCAAATTATAAAATCGGGCTTTGGCCTGTTAAGTTCTTTATGTGCAACTGAACTTGTAATATATTTGCCCTTTTTGTTAATGTTTACTCATATTAGAGGACACTGCTAGCTAACGATTGTAACTTTTGTATTTTGGCCAGATTTAAGGTAAACCATCTGGAGGTCTGGTAAGTAGTTTCTGGTGATGTTATCATGACTAATCTACCATTGGGAAAAACCAAAATCCTAACCCAAAATTATATTCGCAGAGAGATTATCACCTTTATGTAATAAGGGTGGCAGGAGACTGCACACTTCAGAAAATAAGAACGTCAGATCAAAAACAGCAGGCTCCATAATTTGTAAGGGTCAGATTATTATTTAACAGAAAGAAATACACATTTTACTCTTTTACCCCTTTTGTTCCCTCTTTATAGAACATAAAACTTTAGAGCAGTGGTCAACAATTTTGTGCTGGCACAGGCTACCCTCTGCAAGCTGGCCTCCCACAATGAGCCACAAGTTTCCACCCCTCACTGTCCAGCTGCCTCCTCTTACCCTTGCCACTGAGTCCCAGCCCCTCAATAGTGAGGGTCAGCACAGATGTGGAAGAGCAGCAAGCTCTACAGTGAAGAGTAGCACTGCAAAGGGAATGTACAGCATGGTATAGCTGTGCCCCAATCCACAGGGCTAGATCGGAGCATCACAGGTGAAAAGACCTCTCTGCAAGCCTGGTGTGATCTGCAGGCTATAATTTACCAGTCTCGATTTAGAGAATTACACACACAAAAGCGCAGGCTTCAAGGGCACCTCACCACAATTCTGAGCATCTCTGATCACATTTCAGAACAGGATATGCAATGAAAACACAACTGTACAGATAAATAGTTACTCAGTCCCAAAACCAAAAGAGAAATAAACTAGCCATGAGTTAGCTTCATTAGAAACTTCTAATTTGTGGTGCTTCGGGAAAAAAGTTCTAGGACATCTACTCGTTGGAATTTTTTTACCCTAGACCATACATATTTTTAAGATTCTCATCACTTTATGGAAGTTATTTTACAATATGGTTGACTATAATAATGGGCCTGATAATCCAGGAAGGTCTGTCCAGTCTTATGTTCCACAATATACTAGATACCTTTATGGATCTAGTCTTTGTCTGATTCCTACATGTATTTACAAAATTAAGTAAATGAAATAAACATCTTACTCTTTTCAATTTGTTTGCTCTTCTGTGATTTATGGAGCAGAACTGTTTAGAGTATGGGTCAGCAACCTTTGGCTGACATGGGCCACCCTTTGAGGATAGGCATATAAGCATCTTGTGGATCTAGCCCTAAACACTTACTTCTTCGGTATTACTAGGCTTCTGTGGTATAACACCACTGAACACAGAAACCATTAAATGACTCCACAATAGCAGAGGTTGCCAAGAAAGTGCTAAAACCAGATGAAATGTTTGTTTTTGATGAGAAACTTCACTAACGAACGGGTTGTTAGCAAAGGAGATGTCCTTCAGAGATTTAACTTCCATCTTGTTTCACATCTACACATGAATGACTAGTACCTCCAGCAGCTGGGGGGGGGCATGGAGGCAGTGGGAGAAGCTCGGCAGCAGCGAGCGAGGGAGCTCCTGCAGATGCCAGTGGCGCTGTCGGAAGCGCCAAGCACCAACCAAGGGTCGGCAACCACACACAGCCAGCCGGGGTGGCAGACCGCCCACAGACATCACCGGTGTCAGCAGTGGGGTGGCAACCACCTGCAGGCACCACCAACAGTGTCGGCGCCACCTTTTTGTAGGGGGTTCACCGCACGCTCAGGGGGTACACGTGCACCCCCTACACATTGCCCCTGCATCTACATCAGAACAGTACAGGAAATAGTAACAGAATTTCTCAGTTTAAATGATGACAGTGCTCTAAGCTTTGACATCCTTCTTAGAGTATTAGCCAAATGCCCGTCAAGGATGATGGGGGAGTAGCAGGCGGGCAAGGAGAACCGTGGCCACCCCACATTCAGGTCTACTTCCCTTCTCCTGCTTGGGGTCTGGGCCCATTTCCCCCATTCTTGCCACAGCAGCCAGGGGAGGGAAA